TCCCAGAACCTCAGAAAACTCAGAAGACTCAGCAGACTTTACTCCAGAAAGTGTAGACTTTTAAAGTGTTCTGCTTCTCGTCACTTTAGTAAGTCCTGATTGGTTGAAGCAACCAACAGGGGTGTGGTTCTAGTGATGTCAAAGGGTTTTTACAAGTCAAGAAAACAGCAAGAATGTTTTAGGAACAGACAGAGAAATGTTTTGGTGAAGTGAGAAACTGCAGGTGCCAGTTGTCTTATTTACTGTCTGAGAGTTTTAAAAACACGGCAGCCCGTTCTAACAACTTGTTTTTAACTGTCTCCGACTTTTGACCGACATCACTATTTCTCATTTCAGACAGAAGATCAAAATGCATAATTGCTTTGTAAATAGAAATTTAACTTGATTTCTAATTTAAATGAGGATTAAAAAATCACTAATACTGTTTTACAGTTGATATAAAATGAGTGGTTCACTTCAACATTTAAAAATGGTATGAACTAAACACACTTTTGATTATCAAGATATTGTAAAATAGTAATGATAATATAAAAGAAGAGAGTGTTCTTTCAATTGATTAGTTCAGGATACATTTAGACAGTCTCTGGATGAGCTAATTTGTATTTCTGGATTCAAATCAATGAAATAACAGTTCCTGTCCCATGAAGGTCTTCAGAGGCAGGTTTTGGTCAGAGGCCTAGTCCACTACACGTACGTGGGAGTATACTGGGGGCTTTATAAATAGCACCTTTTCATAGTGGATCGACCAGTTTGCTGCTGACAACCAAAACGAGCTGCTCACATGATCAAGGAGGACCATCAGCCTAACGATGGATCATTAGCAACCTGATGGCTGTTTAGTATTCACAGGGGGTTGAGTGATACTAGCAATAACAGCATTGTAAGAGGGGGACAGTTGAACATGGGGGCCCCCACCCCTGTAAAATGATGAACGATTTCTTTTCACAAAGATGGTCTCCTTTACTCCTCTCTCAAACCATTGTTCCTCTCTATCCAGGATGTGAACATCTTCATCCCTGAAAGAATGACCGCTGGTCTGGAGATGAGTGTAGACCGCAGAGTCCAGGCCTGATGATGTTGATCTTCTGTGCTGGGCCGTCCTTTTGGCCAGTGGCTGTTTAGTTTCCCCGATGTAAGACTGATCACAGCCCTCTTGACACTGAACAGCATACACAATATTCCTCTGTTTGTGTCGGGGGACTGGATCTTTGGGATGAACCAGCTTTAATGTATTCTGGGGTTTAAAAGCCACTGGAACGTTGTGTTTAGAAAATAAACGTCTCAGTTTCTCTGATACTCCCTCAACATATGGAATGACCACTGGTCTGGGTCTGGGTTTCTCCTTTTTACCTGATGGCTGACTGGAGTCCTGTTTGGGTTTCTTCTCTGCTTTCAGGAAGGCCCAGTTAGGATATCCACATTGCTCTAGAGCCTGTCTTGTGTGGGATTTCTCCTTCTGCCTGGCTCCTGAG